GGCACAGAAAGCAGAAAGCTACGTAGGCGAAAGCGCCAGTTGCTCGACATACCTGCGTGGCCCGTGCGACGAAATAACTTCACGGGATTGGCAAAGTTTCAGTCACAGCAAATTATGCAAAAAATCTAGAAAGATTTAAGCTTAAATCTCGTTTAACGTTTAAAGCGACATATCAATGACTGCAACCATCGTGTTGTATACAAACCTCGCAAACTTTAAAACACGTTCTCTAGTGATACCTGCGAAAGTATTCAGTATAATTTCCGGTAAGATTTTCGCGGACAATCTGATCGATTTCTCTTACATTGTGTGCTGAGACTGAAACTTTTCACCTCAAGCAATACTCCGTCGCACGGTCCAAACAAACATAGTGAGCAACTGAGCTACTAGTATATGTCCGTGTTAAAACACACGAAAGGACTCTAAAGCACACTTCACTCTGATTGGGCAGAAAAACACAAAGATTTTCTGGCACCAATCAGATGGCAGAACGACTGCGACCGTTTGGAACTAGTCTTGTAAGACAATGTCCCCAGGGGCTCTTCATGCCCTAACTTGAAATCGACTCAGCCCCTGGGTCTCCGAGGATGTAGTTTCCATAGATGGGCTCCGTAGCATCTCAATGGCATCGGCGAACCAGCAAACCGCGAAAGGCGCGGGGGTTTACAAAAGGCACCAAAATAGAAACAACTACTCGTAAAAGAATAATTTAGATAGCTATCGTCTTAAATGACGAATGAAGTCAAAATAAGCTAAATGTTGGTCTATTTTTATCGGTTAATTAGTCTATTAAACCAAAGTGACGATTACAGCGGTTTGTGGAGCTTCTACCACAATGGTGACCAGACAGAACACGTCTATTTATTATTTCAAAAATACTAAAAATACCTAAGTTATTAGTGTGTTATTTGTTCACATTTCCTAAGGGTTTATGAGCACGCTAGATTCAATACTATTGCAGTGTAACTTAGCCCTTTTTGTAATGATCTATTTTCATCAGAAAATATATAATCTAGGCGACGATCTATCTGACCTAACTCTTTTAATGGTGATCCCTCAACGCAATGCTGTGATAGGAATTTAATTTCAGAGAAATACCAATTTTCTAAGTCTTCAGTATACAGTTGATCTTGTGAAGTATTCAGTCGGTTAAGTATGATTTAGTCATTCGTCTATATCAAGCCTTTATTACTATTTGAATTCAAAGTCGAAAATATTTTATTAGGTTAAAGCAGCCATCGCGACGAGTTTCCAAATTATGTCTGTTTTGTCTAACTTCCAATAGTGCATAAAGTAAGTAAGTAAGTAAGTATCTTTATTTGAGTGTCAAATACATCTTGCGTCATAGTTAAATGTGAATAAAATATTAGCTGTTACATAGAATACACGACTTAAAGCCACTAGGTTCTAAAATTGTTATGTCCATCTTACGAATGTTTCTTTTAAAAATAGCGCTAGCTAAAGATGACGATTCCCTAATTTTCTTAGATCATTTCGCCCATGGATGTGGTCCCAAGTACCTAATCGAACGTTATCTAAACCTAACTGTTTTAAAACTTGGCAAATCAAAGTCGAAGTTTTAAGGTAATTTGGTAATATCAACTAAGTTGAAATTGTAAATTGGCCACCGTAAACGGAGTTAAAAAGCTGACGTTTCGAGCGTTAGCCCTTGTTGCCCCCACCGACGCAGCACCACAGTTTCTTTAGAAACTTACCCCCTTTATAAGGGTTAGATTCAGTCAACCAGAGGTACCTAGATGTAAGTAAAAGATTGTCTGAGAGAACTGAGAGATTAAAGAAAACTGAAAAAGACAGGTCAAGAGTCCTTTGCGCCTTTTGTGAAAACATGTTGCGGTCTGTAGCTAGTTTCCCCATCAATGCGACCTAACAGGAGAGTCTAACAGGAGAGTCTAACAGGAGAGTCTAACAGGAGAGTCTAACAGGAGAGTCTAACAGGAGAGTCTAACAGGAGAGTCTAACAGTAGACAGGATCCACAAATACTTCAATTTAAGAATGAGGTAGAAAATATTCATGTTCTTGTTATAACATCGATTCAAAACTGTCCAACGCATCTAACGAATAACTAATACAAACTTAAGTATTTTAACAGAGCTTGAGCGGTTATTCAGGTCAACCGCTAACTGAAGAGTCTGGAGAGGGCGTAAGTTTTCTTGATGCACTACTCAAAATATGGTCCTTCAGATTAACTGGATTAGGGTGACTTTGAAATTGATTATTTTCTTTTAACAGAAAATAAAATTAATTATCTATATTGACTCTACTTATTGAATAAATTGCGTTAATTCTGACGCGTCAAAATCGAAATGTCTTTTCCCTCTTTCATGAACTAAAGACCACTGAACCGACTCATTGATCTTAAAGAAACCCCTGTCTTTCTATTTTCAGGTCTCTTTGAATAGAAATGATCAGCCAATTTTATCTCCCGCGGTTATTTCTGTGTACTCGGGTGAGGCCATTAAATATATTGCTCATACCGGAAAGTTGTTTAGTAGAATTTTTGTTTTGTTATCAGATTATGATATAATCTTCAGACTTAATTTGTTGCGTCAATATAGAGCTGACGACGGACAACTTATCTAGGAAAAACTCGCAAGGGGTAACAAAGACCTTCCCAGAAACTCCATCAAAATACTGAAACTGGAGAGCGATTTTTTCTTCGCTCGTCACAAAGATTTGCAAAAAAATCTGGGGCAGCTGTGGAAAGAAAAAGCTAAAAAAAAGGATAAGAAAGCGCCTGGTACTCTTATGTTTTTTAACAATGGTTGACTGATCTTTGACAAATAAAGACCAACATCGATCTGCATAAGAAAAGCAAGGGCAAGGTAAAGTTCAACACGAGTTGTATGCCTTGACGATGACGTTCATATGACGGCGAATGAATTGGTTTCCCTTCATTTTTTTTTTTTGCGTAAAAGCAAATGCCAGTTACTCTGACGTCATTCGATTTCAATGAAGAAACATCCGCTCGGCAGCCTTTCAGTGCAGTTTACGAAAGGAAAATTTTCACACACAACCTTGGGAATAAAACTTTCTGCAAGATCTCATGTCTAAAAACGGAGACATCAGTTAAGGAACATCACATCTGTCATGGGTAGCGTATGGGTATTTGAAACTCCCTCTCCTTCTCCTTTCCTCACTCCCATTTTTTTCTTTAGGGGTTCACGTATCTCGTCCATTCAGGCGCTTTCCATTCCAAAAGAAAGGTTTTGTTGAGGCCAAAGGAGAATAAAAAAATTAAAAATGAACTTTTGCCCGCTCTTATTACTTTCCCAAAATACCTTCGCATGACAACTTTGTGACCAGTAAATGCTCTTTTGTTATTTTGATCGCGCCTGTGATTGGCTTTCAAAGAAAATGCGCGAGTTTTCATTGGACAAGTCATTGCACAATTCTCTTTGTCGTTGCGGGGTAGAGCAAATTTTGCGAAAAGGAACGAATGATTCATTTAGAATCTAGCAGTCTTTGAATCATGAGTCTAATATCATCACTAGGTTTTATTGGGGGAGGAAAAGCAGCACAAGTTCTTGCTAAGGGGTTTTTATCCGCTGGAGTTATCAAGGCGAATGAAATTTTCGCCAGCGCTCCGTCAGAGAGAGACTTGAATCAGTTTCGCACTATGGGCTGTAACGTGAGTAACGATAATAAGTGGGTAATGAAAGAAAGTAACTTTGTGTTCCTCGCTGTTAAGGCCAAAGTTTTCCCTGATGTTTTCAAAGAAATTTCTCCTGTGGTAACGAGAAATCATTTACTAGCATCCATTGCGGCTGGAGTCACCTTGGATTATATGCAAAATTCCTTGCCGGGACGAAGTCGGATTGTTCGAATGATGTTAAACACTCCGGTGCAGTTTCGCGAAGGAGTCACAGCTCTAACATTCGGTAAATTTGCCCGTGAGGAAGATTACACCTTTGTACACCAGCTGATGTCTTCTGTGGGATATAGCTTTGATGTTGACGAAGAATTGATGGATGTGATGACTGCTCTAACCGGTGGTGGGCCAGCCTACCTGTACATGGCCATCGAAGCTTTGGCCGATGGCGCTGTTCGGGCTGGATTGAATCGCCAAGAAGCCATGAAATTAGCGGCAAAAACATGTGCTGGAGCGGCTAAAATGGTGTTAGAAAGTGGACAACATCCAGGAGAACTGAAAGATGCTGTGTGTTCTGCCGGGGGGTCAACAATAGCTGGAATAAACGCTCTCGAAGAGTGTGGTTTTCGAGGAGCTTTAATGAAGGCTGTACACGCCGCAACCGAACGTGCTAAAGAACTCGGAAAAAACGGCACACGGTGAAAGTAGCGAAAGACCGGATAAATTAAACTTTGCAACGTTTTCCTAGTCAAAATATATGCTGAATTACAAGGGAACTGTTGCCATATCGACAAAAAATATATATTTTTATTGGGAGATTCCGCGGCTCGACTTACGCCACGTGGCTATTATGTTTACACCAGAGTTACTACGTCACTCATAGGGCCAAATGGTCACCAACTATTGTTTAACATTGACTTTCTGGTGGGATGACACTAAAACAATAACTTCATGAATGATTAGCAGTCACCCGTATTTGTGTTGCTTCATCGCCTCATTTTGAAAAAAAAAATTTCTGAGGAGAAATCTATTGATGTCTCCACTCTCCAGGTGAGAAAAATATTTTATTTCTAGAGGTCGGTAAAATTGGTTTCTTCGTTCAGGACTACATTCTAGCACAGAAAATGCCAACCTCAGCTTTATGAGCGAAGATAAAACAAAATTTTTATTTGGTTAAAATTTTATTTTAAAGTTATAAGCCTTTGGCTTGTTTACTCGACGTCTGTTCAGTCAAAACACTTGAATAGGTCCATGTAGGTCATGGAGTAGTAACTCAAAATTGTTGTAGAAAGGTTATACATTTGAAATGTTTGATGCAAACCAAGATTTGGCACAGATGAAATGTAGTGCTTTAAATGATACTCGATGGATAATCCGAAATATTCCTCTACAAACTTGTTTGAAGAAAAAATAAATTGGTATAACCAAATGATTGTATTGCACTGACTGTGGAAGTTTGATTTATTTAGGTATTGCTTGATATGCGAGATACAATGTCTGGTATTTATGCAAATCTTACCACTTTCACTCCCAGGATCTCATTAGTAATAACAATAATAATAATATACGTTAATTGAGGCTCCCCCTTAGGGGCTTTTCAGCCACAATGTAGACTAACTAAGAGCTTAAAAATCCCCACTGGCAGGAGGCAGACTAGTGGGCTATTTACAGAGCGCAGCCCAGGAGTTGAACTAGGGGCATCCGAGAACAAATCCAGTGAGTGGCAGGGTGGAGGACTTAAACCCGGGACACCGGATTACAAGTCCAGCACCCTAACCACTCGGCCACGCCGCCTCCTCCGAATTCGTAGTAATTCTCCTTCCTGCCAGCCATCCCCTCTTGTGATGTTAGTTGGTATTGGACCAACTAATAATCCCTTAATTTTTTTTTTCCTTCCCCTCACATGTCTGCTTGATATTACTTTTACATTGTAAGGAGAAATTGTTTCTTGGTCAGTCATGGGAGTTAAAGGGTTTTAGGAAAATTAGCAGTTTGTTTGTTTTATGTTTCTTTCGCATCAATTATATAAAGTGATGACTGACAATAAACAGTCTTGTTTCTATAAACTCAAATTTGCAGTTTGAAGAAAAGAGCAGGGATCTTACATTCTTTTTTTTTATAAGAATTGTTTTTAAAGATGGAGCTTGTGACATCAAAGAATTTAGAGCCCTTATGAACCCTTTGACCTCCAAGAGTGACTTACATTCACTTTCTCCTTACAATAACTCCACTTTATTATCCAACTACAGTCCATATAGTACAAATAACGTCATAGACGACTACAAATATCACATGGTATTTGTACTCCAGAGCACCAGTTAAACAGGTTTTCTCGCATCGCGCAAGCGAAGAATTGAATTGAAGTTACAAAAAGAAAAACTGGCGGACAATTTGAATCATATTTCTGATGACGAAGAGTCGGAATGACTGGTAAATATAGATCCAAGTTTACTTGACGAATCGAGCGAAGAAAAACAGCTAGATGACCAGGAAATTTCTTCATTTACTGAAGAAAATAGAAACAGCAGCACGACAACGCATCAATTCTGTTCCGCTTCGCATACTTCTGTCATGCACTCCCCGTAAGTAAATAAATATCTGCGAAATTCGCCCACACAGAAATAACAATTTGGGGTGTTGGATTATAAATAACTTTTAGACTTTTTAATACATGAAATGAGTGACAAGAAAAGCCATCCCCTGGAACATCCACTGCTAAATTCCCATTATCAATAAAATTATTGACTCACAGTGGCCTATGCTCTCTATGGCCCTCCATTTTCAAGAGGTTGAACTATCTCCTTTTGTCCACTTGCAACTGGTTCAAACAGATTGATGAGCAAACACTGACAAATCACAATAACAAATATATTTTCCAGTATCAGTATTCAATCAAGTTGCTTTTGATTACCAAGTTTGCTGTTCATAATCAGTCTTGGAAATCTCTCTGTAAAAGCTCAGGAAAATAGTCTACCATTTACTAAAAGCCTTTGGAACACAACTACATATTCAAGAAGTGACATTTCACTCTGCATGAGGAGACCATTAACCATTTAAAACTAGTAAGAGTAACCAGCATTTAACTTCTCCTGACAATACTGCTCAATCATTCATTAAAGACAGTTTAAATTTGTGCTGGAGAAAAAAAAAATGAGGTTCATGCACAAGTTAACCCAATCAAGAAACTTGATATGGCAACAATTTGTTTTATTTTCAAAATTTTTATTAAAAGCATTAAAATTTCAAGCTTTTAGAGGTTTCCACCCTTTCACACGTAATATATTGCTTATCAAATAAACTGAAGCTACTGGCATGTACCATCAGCGAAACAAAACACTCAAAATGCTATTGACTGGCCACACAAATGGTGAGATAATGTAACTGATTCAATCTCAACTTTATAGAAGCCACCTTTTCAGATGATCACTTTTATCAATTGTTCAAGTTACCTTGAAATACCCCTCCTGACAAAGCACCAGTTTCTTTACAAATTTTACCCCTTTAATCACCTTTTCAAGAATGATGAATTTGTCTTTTTAAAACAGAAAATTATGAATTTCAGTTATGATGACTTTTGTGGTAATTTTAACAATTACTCGAAAGGAAATGAAATTCTTACTGTTGAAATATAAATATATCTCACTTGCGCATAAAAAATCCTTACTATATACTCAAATTAAAATGCTTGATAGAGCTTTAGATACTTAAAACGATAAATACCTAGACAAATGTAAGCAGAAAATACAAACTAAATAGCCAAATATTTTATGCCTAGCCAGGTGGAAATGAGTAAAACAAGTGAGTTCTGTACGGGATTCGAACCACTGACCTCTGCGATACTAGTGCAGCAAATGGTCACCAACTATTGTTTAACATTGNATATTCATTGTACCAAATAATAATAATATTAACAATTTAATAATAGTATCATGCTATTAAAAATAATAATATTAAAGATTTAATAATATTAATTTTTATACCATAGTGCACAACTATAGAAGTTTATTAAAGGATGTCATTGTAATATAATTATAGTCACTCATCACTCATAGCAAAGAACAGCATTGAATATCTTCAGCACTGTTTACTATGCATCCACTTGAAATGTAAATGTGAAAAAATACCTAAATTGAGTTAACCCATTTTGAAAAAAAGGCCCTTCTTTTTATGGTATTGAGGTGAATCCACACAATGTTTTCCCTTCTTTTAAGTGCTTTTTCACCTCAATGACATCACTAAAGGAGAATTTATAGCTCCATTGACATCAAGTTTGAGAAGACCAAAAGAATGGTTATTATTAAAAGAAAAGAATTTATTTAATAGAATTTTATCTTACTGTGTACACTTCTGCGAGGACATCTTCTGAGCACATGAACTCTACGGCTGTCATTATTACAAATAAATATTGCATCATTTGATATCTTTAAAATAGACAGAAAATTCCATGCTTACATGCATGGGTTGAAAATTTTACATTCTATTACTTATAGCATCTTTTAGAATTAAGTTCCCTTAGCTTACACAAGAGAAATATTACTGAAACTCAAACATAACATTTGGCTGTATACACCTAGCCATGCAACATCCACCAAATATTACAAAGTGAGCAGGGTGATTTAAACATTTTCTAGCAATTTCTGTGTTCCTTCATATGCCACAAACAAAGCTCCACATGCTGGAAAACATCGCACCAGTGTTGGTCCAAGGCCCTTGTACAAAGCTCTTGGTCCTGTAGAAAAATAATCAAAACTAAAAAAGTGAGAAGAAACCTGTAGTGTTATCAGTAAGTTACTGTGGATTAGCAAAATGTACAATTCCTGAATTAACCCTAAACCATGAAACATGAAAATTGTGTAGGGTCCCGGAGTAGATTTGGAATGAACTTTTATCTTGCATGCCTTTTTATCTGCAGGGAATCATTTCTGCTGGTCAAAAAAACTTCAGACAAAAAAATTGCTCAAATGTGATGTTTGGTGTGTTATTTTAAATGCACATATTTACCTTCATTCCGAACAATCTGAAACATTGTCTCAAAGAAGCCTGGTACTTTGTCAGAGCCCTGGGTCAGTATCTGTGCAGAAAGAAGTTATCAACATAGGTTTGATCACATAGATCACCTTGCTAAGTACAGCAGCTCACAACCCTTCCACTTCATAAAATGATGAACATGTAACTATTCCCTGAAATATCCAACATACATTATCCAGCAAATAGGTAATGACAGTACTCAAACTTATCTGGTACGAGTTGTTATCTTGATCTACAACCAAATTCTTTTTACTAATTTAGAAGGAAATGAGTGGCAGTGAGATAGGTGACTGCATTAACAACGTCTTTTTTAACAAGAAAAGGTATGGCTGTTTTGCTGGGCCAAAAATAGTAATAAATAATAATAAATAGACATTATGATAATAACAAGGTGAACACAATAACAAGGTGGCTCTAAGGCAAGATTCCACTGTACAAAGAAAGTAGAGTGGCGATGATGCCCTGAATAAAATGGAGAGAGACAGGATACCAGAGTATCAAGGAACAGCACACGTTGTGGTCAAAATACCTGAATACGAGACTTGATGACATCAGCAGGAAATACAGCAATCCAGAGAGATACACCAGCAATACCACCACAGAATATAAGACGCACAGCACCTGCAAAAAATATCAAAAGCATAAATTTCAATCACTGAAACTGTTCAGACTGGGTTACACATTTAATGCTGATATTGGAAATGACAAGCCTAAGGCTTGGTAGCATGACAAGAAACATGGGGACATAAATAATTTCTTTTTCAATTCTTTAAATTCAAGAAATTATTTATGATTGTGTAACTTCTCCCTATAATATCTCTACAGTATCTAGCAAACATGTTTTAAGAAAATGTGTGGCAGCAAGGAGGGGGGGGCAGGAATTACCAGTCAGATCTCGGGAGTTAAAGAGTCCACTTGTGAGATTTCCTCCACAGTACTTTTCACTTCTAATATTCCTTCTTGATCATGAAACCAAACTTGGCAAGACTGTTCAAGTTGTACCTCTGTGGTTGGGATAAATAGCTCATTTGGGACAATTTCAATTCCAGTAACAGAGATCTTGGTGGTATAAACTGAGATCACAGTGGCTAGGAACATATCTCAAGCAAAGACTAGTGAGGTGATATATAAAAAAACTAGGCAAGTCCACTTGATATATGGAGAGGAAAAATGAAAAGACATCTTAATTCCAGGTGAATTTCACTTTACTGCCACCACACGTGTATCATTTCTATCTGAAGGACACTTTTCTGAGTAACATAGTGCAACCACTTTCACTGTCACTCAAGAAAAAAACTGACCAATCTCACTACAGAAAGCAACCAGGGCCATTCATCAAATAAATCTAACCTCAAAACTTGGAAATTTAACTGGGAAGTGTTTGGAGCATACTTAATCCTTTAAATATTCACCATATTCTTCTCTGTACATTTCCTTTGGTAGTGACAAGGAGAATTGTGCAATCATTTCTATATTTCCATCATTGTCAGTAATGAATGATTCCACAGTGTTGCAATAAAGAAAATCAGAAGCTGCTCCCTTTTATAGTTGAAAGGGTTAAACAAACTCTGGACTTCTTCAAACCTCAGCGTTGATTCAATGTATAATATACAATCATGCTGTCAAACTAAAATGTATACATTTCATTTAAATTGAAAATAAATCATACCAAGATCATCAACAGTTTTTCCCTTTGGCCTGAGGAGATATCGGCTCAACTCGTAGCCCCCAAAGAAGAAGAAATAACCAGGTACTTCACGAACCAACGTTGATGTCATTCCTCGAAAAAGGCCCAAAAAGCCATCCTCACAAATAATCTGCATTGTAACTTGTACTACCCCACTGTGGAGGAATAAAAATGCCTTTTTTTCCAATCATTTGCAGGGATTTAAATGAAAAAGAGACTTCTTACTACCATCTGTAAATATTTCTGTTCATTAGATTTGTACTACCTCTTAGTCACAGCCATTTGTCACACTGTCAGCAGCCACTTCTTAAAAAAAAAACTATACTTGTATTTTTAATATTTCTTGGTTATTTAAGTAAATTAACCCTTTAACCCAAGACAGAATTTCTCCATACAATATCAAGCAGACAAGTGATGAGAATAGAGAATAATATCAATTCGGGGATTTGATTGACCTAATATCAAATTCTCCAAAGTAACATCAAGATTTGTATGGATAAAAGTAAGGGTATTGGCCACTTTCGCCCCCTATCGAGTTTATCCCTAACTTTTGCCGTGTTCACCCCCACACTTCAAGTTTGACCCCACCAAGTTGAGTTTGCCCCCAGATTAAGTAATGTCTAAATTAGTCTACAGTTGTTTTTGGTAACCCCAGATCCCCCGCAGATTCCATGCAATTGTCGAAATTCAAAATGGTCATCACTGACTTGACATTTGGCACGTATATTCTGCTAGTGCCTTCATCACAAATCAACTCATCTGGACATCACTCAATCAAGGGGCAAATTTAACTTGGTGGGGTCAAACTTGAAAAGTGTCAGGGGGCAAACATGGTATAAGGTAGGGACGAACGCCATGCAATTCAAGTAAGGAGAATTGCTAGGGATATCTTAGGAGTGAAAGGGTTCTGTAGATGTAGGTTTTTACCTCTTAGCTCCAGTTTTTCCAGCCATAACATTCATTTGGTGTTGTGCTTGAAGCCTACATTTCACTAATTCTGTTGGACATAGTGCAAACGAAGAGAACACTGCTGCTCCACTCCCGGCAAAAGCGCGGTTTAATACACTCAACTCTTTTTCATCTTTCTTCCCCACAAACTTTTTCACTACCGTTAAACACTGACCATAAAATAAGAACAGGACAGAATTTTCCGCAATGTTTGCAGCCAATGAAGGGATTGTTCCGGCATATAATCCACGAAAACCCTCCTGTTTTAACGTTTTAACACCACAATCAATTGCAGTTTTGAAAAGCGATGGGAATGTCTGCATTTTGACTTTAATTGTGTCGAAAGGTTGCCCAGCCATCACGCACGCAGTACCGCCAATAGCGCCAGCCGTGAAGTCCTTTACCATTCGCTTCATAACACTTAGATCAACATTCATTGCGGACGAGGATTCCACCATATTTTTCCCTTCACTATCATATTTACTTCCGCGATGCTTCAAACCTTTTCAACAGAAGTGTGGTTAAAAATTTTTTGCGCACGTGACAGTGTGGGGGATTCAAAAAACTTCGTCAAACAACTAAGTTGTGGGCAGAGGTTGCTTGAAAATTTACCCCCATGTGTCGAAGGTAGATGTTGTGCTCCTTGATTATATCAAACACACCAATTCAGCGACATATGCAGGGAAAACGTTTCACGAAAAAGTCTGAAATATTAAAGGTTGCCAAACAATATTGCAGGTTTATGTAATGAAGTACATAAAAGCCTTCGACAAACTTGGCTTCTGGTTGAGAACAGGCCAAAATGTTTCTATCAGATAAAGTTCTTTAAACGCCTGTTTCGTAGAGCCTCATCAAATCCCTCGTAACTGTCCTTAATACAGATCCAGATGATTAATGCTAACAAATCACGGGAGGCCAATACAGACCACACGTACTTTTTCAGATAAATGAGCACCATAGTACTCGTGCTTTTAACCTCTGGCAGTCAGTAGGCTCATAATTTGGATCCAGTCCCTTTAAGCTCAATATTTGAAGGGGAGAGTTCTGAAGTTTTCCCTATAAAAAAGGGTCTCCTAACTGATTAATTTTACTATTAAAATCTAAGTACATTTTTACAGTTCATAATCTATGCGTGCGACATGTACAAAAACAGCTCTGAAATGAATAATAATAGTATTAATAAAAACAACAATAATAAAGAAAAGGAGGGCAAAGGGGACAGTAAATTCAAAATCATGAGCTTTCCCCTCTGCAGTCACCGTATGATTTTAAAATATATATTTATTCGAACGAAGTATTATTATTATTATCATGAAGATCGTTAAGACTGAATTAGGAAAAAACACTGGATCGCATATGGTAAGTTTTCATAATTTTATTTTCTTCGTTTCTTGGCACGTCATATCAAACTTATCCCATATAAAGCTGAACATTTGCCTAAATTGGTCCCAAGCCCCCATATTACTCACCTGACATGCGCAGTTAATTAAATAATATGCAAAGAGCGCCAATTTTCAAAAATGGCGGTCAACAAGGCAAAGCGGGAGTATAAGACTCCGAAGAGATTTATTGACGAATTCGCCGAAGTTAAGCCTAAGAAATGCAAGAAAATACAAATTACGGATAAGAATATTTATCCAGTTGAGATAACACAGGTCGACAAAGCGAGAAACATGGTTAAAATTCATTTTAAAGGGTACAGTGAGAAATTTGACGAATGGGTTATTGAACGTGACAATATA